TTTCGCGCGGAATATTTCTTCGAGTTCACAGTGAGTTTTTCCAGGCAGCGCTCGAGTGCTCATACGGTAAGACGCCAAACTCCGCGGGCGATCGCCAGGATTGTAAATGTTTTTGAAACGGACTGTAGATGCTTCTTTTAGAGCATTACAAAAAGCCGCGATTATGTAAAGCATTATATAGTGAAAAGTCGAGCATTACCCGCTAAGTCGCTGACCCCTATCTAGCACCATCATTGGCATAATTCCAGCATAATGTAGCATAATCACTGGCACAGCCAACTCACCCCAACGTCCACTCATCGTCTGCGCCACCTACCGACCTCCTGGTGGTACCCTCGCGGACATCCAGGCCTATTATGATGGTCTGGAAGACTGCCTTCTGTCACTTAAAGGGGAAGTTAAGGCAAAAATTAAAATTTCACCAGTTGTAGTCTTCGGGGTCCTGAGTCGAATGGTCTTGGTCCGAGGAAGCTGAGACGCTCCCTTCCTACTTGAATCCCAATCGAACTCGCGCACTTCCACCGAAACTGGGTGACTGCGCCCTACGAGATGGGGATTTGTATGCAAAATGTCACTAAAAGCTCCATTTCGTTCTTATAAAAGCACGGATGACCGCGATTGGCCCATATGTTGTAGTCTTTTGGACGCTGAGTCGACTGGTTTTGGTCCGAAAAGGCTGCGATGCAGCGTTCCTCCTTTATTCCCAATCGAACATGGTTGAACAAGTGGTCACGTGCTCCTGGGTGCCCAAATCACCTGGTCACCACGCCAGCAGGTGACAACTTTCACACCAAGGTTCAACTCGAGTTCAACTCGAGTGACAGGACTGCACCCAAAAAAGGTCAAACAGGCTAGTAAGTTGTACCCTGCAGGCACGGTGACCAGGTGACTGGCGTACGCAGGAGCACGTGACCGCTTGTTCAACCATGTTCGATTGGGAATAAAGGCGGAACGCTGCATCGCAGCCTTTTCGGACCAAAACCAGTCGACTCAGCGTCCAAAAGACTACAACATATGGGCCAATCGCGGTCATCCGTGCTTTTATAAGAACGAAATGGCGCTTTTAGGCCAAGTAAAAAAAAAAGCTAGATGATCGTCCCCGTCCGCCCCAGTTTTTGTCAGCGCCCCAAGAAATATTTTATTTTTTAAATCGTGAGTTTTACTATATGGACCACATACTACTAGTATATCACAACGTCAGTATCGATCTGCTGAAGAAAGAAAAAGAAAAAAAGAAAAAAAAAGAAAAAAAGAGAAAAAAAACCTTGATGTTGTTGTGTACACTGTGTGCATGAGAGGGTAAAAAGTAAAAAAATAAAAATAAAATCCTCCCGCCCTCCCCGATTTTTCCAAAAAAAAGGACGATCATCTAGTAATTTTTTTTACTCGGCCTTAGTGACATTTTGCATACAAATCCCCATCTCGTAGGGCGCAGTCACCCAGTTTCGGTGGAAGTGCGCGAGTTCGATTGGGATTCAAGTAGGAAGGAAGCGTCTCAGCTTCCTCGGACCAAGACCATTCGACTCAGCACCCCGAAGACTACAACTGGTGAAATTTTAATTTTTGCCTTAACTTCCCCTTTAATCTATCTGTATCCACACTACTTACCAACGCATATGGCCGATTGGTTTGCAGGCTTGCCTGCGAATCATGAGGTCCCGAGTTCGAGACCCACGCTGGTAGCAGGGAGCGTGTAAAGACTTTTTACGTGAGTAAAGACTTTTTATGCGTGGTGAACTGCGCCGACACCCACGGTCAACTGGGTACTCACAGCTCGGAGTGAGGGTAACAAGGATGCAGTTTACAGGGTTATGGGCCGTTACACGCCCGATTGGTTGAGAGACTCACCTACTCTCCCCTGACTCACTTGTGAGGTCTGCATTCGCCACTAAGGTGTGCAAGGCATAGGCATAGTGGTGGCCTGCGGAAGCGAAGGCTAGTTTGTGGGTTTCTGAACATTCAAGCGATGCCAACGCGAATCCCGCGAATTATTATTATTATTATCCACACTACTCCTCACCGGTGACTTCAATACCCATAACTCGAGCTGGTTGGCTGGTGATCGGACAACCCCGGTGGGTCAGTGCCTTGAAACCGCCTTCAGGTGCTTCGGATTAGAGCAACTGGTCAACTTCCCTACGCACTGGAGCCCAAGTGGCCGGTCATCTTGCTTGGACCTCATCGTCACAAATTCACCCCAGCAGTTCCTCTCCGTTGATTCAGCCGCACTGGGTAGCTCTGACCACGTGCAGCTCATCTGTCGAGTCCGTCTCCCTGTAGCGTCCAAAACTCCAAAACTCCAACCCTACAACATCACTTCCTCCCAACATCTACCCCTACACCCCCCAGGTTACAATTTCAAGTTGGTGCCACGTTGCGTATGGGATGACCTGAATGCTGAACTTACTTGTGTCCACTGGAAATGTCACCTCCGCAGCTTGCACGTGGATGACGCTCTTTCGTCTTCCCACTCTATTCTTTTAACCATGCTAACAGGGCCATGGAGAAGCACCTCGGGTACTTCTCCCGGCGTCCACTCTCCCCCTCATGCCGACGTTTAGGTCAGCCACCTTGGGTTGATGCCCCCCTCCATGCCGCCATTAAGGCAAAGCACGATTTCTACAGTGTGTGTAAGAAATACCCAACCTAGCTAAATATGCATGTATACCGATCTCAACGGAACTTGGTGAAGAGTCTGACTCGATCGAAATACCGGGGATACGTTCCGTCCGTACAAGCTACGCTGCAGGACAAAAACCGCCCGTCACTGTTTCAGTTCGTGAACAAATTAAAAAATCATAAAGTATCTCGTGACATCCCGACACTCATCATTAGTTCTACGCAGCAGGGTACTACCTCTTCAGCTAAAGCCACTGCATTGAACTCTCAGTTCGCCTCAGTGGCCGTGCCTGATGACCCTTCTCTACCCATTCCCCCATTGCCGAAGAGTCGGGTGAGGTTGACCGCCTCACATCTGTCTTTACTACGACTGCTGCCATCCGACGTTACATTCGAAAGCTCCCGTCTGACAAGGCGCCGGGCCCAGACGGCATCACTAATCTGGTATTAAAGTCCCTTGCGCCCTCAATATCATACCCCTTATGTCTGATTTTCAACCTATCATTCCGCACTGGTCATTTTCCCTCTGCATGGAAAACAGCTAATGTTATACCGATCTACAAGAAAGGGTCCCGCCACGAAGCATCAAACTACCGTCCGATATTTCTACAAGTACTGTCCTCTGTTTCCAAACTCTGTGAGCGCGTTTTCTACGACCAATTGTACTGTCATGTCTCGTCACGTTTGAGTTCAGTTCAGTCCGGATTTCGCAGAGGCGATTCTACCACCCTCCAGCTGACGCGCCTGGTGCAATTAGTGTGTCGACATCGGGAATATTATTATTATTATTATTACAAACAAGGCCGGTCCTGGAAGCTCGAGGTAGAGTGCTCAATGTACGAATGTACAGAGCAGTATACACACACAACAGAGGCGAAAGGCTGTGTTAGCTGTAACTTAAAGTTTCACGCATCGAGCGATCATCGGACAGCAGCATTCACTATCGAATTCTCTACGAGCAGGCCTAGATATTTTGATGCTAGTGTGGAAGTTAGTGCATATGTGCGAAGTGAAGACGTGGCATTGGGACAATGGTATTGAGTTGTTTTGTGAGAGTTAACGGATAAAGGTGAGAATAGAGGCGATAACAGGGCAGTGTTACCGAGTCATTAAAGGCGATAGCGACGGTAGCGCAAGACCACAGCAAGAGTGAAGAGGGATACAACAACCACATGAGCACGACGAGGCATGAGAGGATGGAAAAAAGCACGGAGCTGTCCAAGTGCATATGGAAGCTCAAGCGGAAGAACACTCCGCACTCTGTGAAATGGGCCGTCGTCACCAAGGCCCAGGCCTACTCGAACGCGACCAAGCGGTGTCCCCTATGCCTTGCTGAGAAACTGGAGATCCTGGAAGCAGACAAAACGGTCAACATCAACAAAAGGTCGGAGTTGGTGTCGAAATGCAGACACGAGAACAAGTATTACTTGTCCAGATTCTCACCATCAGTTACGTGAGTTTTTCGACATGGCGCAACCTGCACCAGGTTTGGCGCCATGGTGCTTTCTCTCTCCCTCTTCACTCTTGCTGTGGTCTTGCGCTACCGTCGCTATCGCCTTTAATGACTCGGTAACACTGCCCTGTTATCGCCTCTATTCTCACCTTTATCCGTTAACTCTCACAAAACAACTCAATACCATTGTCCCAATGCCACGTCTTCACTTCGCACATATGCACTAACTTCCACACTAGCATCAAAATATCTAGGCCTGCTCGTAGAGAATTCGATAGTGAATGCTGCTGTCCGATGATCGCTCGATGCGTGAAACTTTAAGTTACAGCTAACACAGCCTTTCGCCTCTGTTGTGTGTGTATTATTATTATTATTATTCTCGTATCCGTCCCGAATGGGACTCACGACGGCAGAATTAACTGTGAGCATGTGTGTGTGAGAGTGGGAGAACGAAATGAAAAAGAAAAGAAGAGTCTTGTAATAAAGGTCAAATTTAAGAAGAGCAGTACTAGACTAAATGGCTGAGCAGATGTTACTCCATTGTTTTCTGTCGCGGGCATAGGTGCCAAGATCACGAAGGCAGCTGGGCTTAAAAATGCAGATAGGTGGACATCGGGATGGTGGAGATCTAGTCGGGATCTGCTTTTTCGATCTTGCCAAGGCCTTCGATACCGTCTGGCACCGGGGGCTTTTGGCCAAGCTTCGTGGATCATTTACTGTAGACGGCAATCCCCTGCTATGGCTAACATCTTACCTAACTGGGCGAACGCAGTACATCACGGTACATGGGACGTCCTCGGCCGACACAACAGTATTATCCGGAGTTCCCCAGGGTTCCATCCTCGGCCCCCTTCTTTTTATTTTATACGTCAATGATCTGCCCGCAGCTGCCCCGGGCACATCACTGTTCGCAGACGACACAACGCTCCTACGGGCATCTCCTAACATCACTGGCCTGATGAGTAAGTTCCTTAGAGCACTCTTTCAATACCCGAGATGGAATGCTGTCAGGTCCAGATGCCTTGGATGGGACTAGCCTTGCAAGATGCCGCCGGACTGAAGCTTCTCGGAAATGGACGTGCTCTAATGGCTCGTGGGTCGGGATGGTCACCGCAGGAAGGTCATTGATAGTCAGTTCTCGGTCACCCAAGCTGCACTTCGAGGAGAAATGCTGTGCCAGGCACTCAGCCTTCTCTGCTGAGGTGTGGAACTCCTTGCCATGGTTGTCGACTAGCAAAGGAACATCAGCGGAGTTGCGCGTAGCGCCAGTGGCTTTCTTCATGTTTGTCCACCACTGTTTATCACTAAGTGACTGGCAGCTGAGTGTGTGGCGCAGTCGATTGACGCTAGACATATGGGCGCTCTGCTGTGTGTGAACAGCTCGGTTGACAGAAGCAATGAAGGAGGTCTTCAGGTCATCCCGGTGCGGGTTCTGCCTCCACTTCTTCCACTGCTTCTCCTTTGCCTCTTCAGCAATGGTGCACTCTGGAGTCCACCAGTGAGGGTCAGAGGAAGGAGTGGTGAAGAATTTGGTGGGGATGTACTGGTCCATGCCTTGCAGGATGGCCGAGGTTAATCGCTCGCAATACAGAGTGGGATCGTCTGACATTATCGACTGCCAGCCGTGACCGCGGTAAAACGCCCGGAGTCTCTTCCAGTCAGCACTATCGTATTTCCACACCTTGCGGGAGGTTGTTGGATCGCGGCGGGCGGAAACTGCTTGGAAGTTGCATATCACAACGGCATGGTCGGACCTGCCGAGGGGGGAAAGCACGTTGGTTGATACTGGGGTAGTGAAGTCGGAAAGAACTAAGTCTAACGTATTTTCACCGCGTGTTGGATGGTGTACATGCTGGTCGAGGTGGTGGGTTGCACACAACACTTCCAAAGCTTCCCCAGCCACAGTTGTCTTTGTGCTGCGAAGCCACTCCTCGTTGTGGACATTGAAATCCCCAGCCAAGATTATGATGGTGCCAAGGCGGCGAGCACCCTCAAGGGCACCATCTAGATGGTCAATCAGGGACATATCTGACTCGGCACATGACCCTGGGCGGTAGACGGCACCGATAATGACTCGGCTCTCGCATTGTGTGGAGACAGACGTCCACAGAACCTCGTGCGCTGAACATTCCAGGTGGGAGAGGTGCGTGAAGGAGAGCTCGGACTAAGCCCAGATGGCGACACCACCCCCGTTCTCGTTACGGTCCTTTCGAGCAACAGTGTATCCAGGCAGTGAGATATCCGAGTCCAGAGTGCCATTTCCTAACTTAGTCTCTGTGACAATAGCGATGTCGACATCGTTCTGGGAAACTGTATGCTGCAGGTTACTCATCTTGTTTGTGATACTGAACGCATTTGTCACAAGGATCCGAAGGGATGGAGCCGGACCTGCTGATACACTTGGTAATGCAGGTAGAGGGGTGGGAGTGTTCAGCAATGACATATTAACAGTAGAAATTAGCATGAAAAACAAACAAAAAACGTTGTGAGTGCATAGAGAAACAATGATTGCATGGTCTACTTACGCCAGCCGGGCTTCCGGCTAGGGGGCTTTCTGCTTGAGAAACTTGCAACTTCTTTTTGTCTTGCCCGGAACGTTTGTACTCCGGTGATATGGATTGCCTCTGGCGTTTGGATGCTTTTAAAGCGTCAGCAATTAACAGCTCGGTTCGCTCGACATCAGAAGAAGGAGCAGGGGCGTCGTCGTCATTGTCATCGTCGTCCCCCTCCTCCTCAGTGCTGCTGCTGTTATTAGGGATACCTGGTGCCTCCGACGTGGTTTCGTTGCTCATTCCGCCAGTGCCGGTGGCCCTGCTGTGTGGACTCTCTTCCTCATGGTTTTCTTTTGTGCCTCCCTGTTGTGTGGTGTCGGATGTGGAAGCACAGGGTGGGGACTTCATTGCCGCTTCTTGAGCCGAAGTCCCAATGGCTGAGTGGTGCTGAGTGAGCCCATGCGAGCCCACGTGTTTTTCAGGTGGGGACTGGTGAGAAGTGGAAGAAGTGGGAGCTTGCACTCCCTGCAAGGCACTAGAGTAGGTGAGTGTGCTCGGTGCAGATGTGTGCGTACCAGTTGTGTTAGAGGTGTCCTGCGCGATGTTTGTGCGAGTTCATGGTCAGCCTAGACACCAAAACCCAGTCATACCAGACTAACAGACATGTGAAAATACGAAAATCACCTCTGCGTACACTGAAAATCAAAGACTTCCAAGACACAGCTGCCCGGAAGATGTCTAAGCAGCACCAGCAAACAATGAATAGCTCGTCACGTGTGTCTTTAGATGATTACACTGAAAACTGGCAGAGTGCAGTTAGTGACACCCTGGACGAACACTGCCCTGTTAGATCGGTGCACAGCAAGAAAAGACACGCCCCGGCTCCGTGGGTGGACGATGAGCAGCCAAGAAGCCTTTCCAACGCAAACGAGCACACCGTTCAATGCTCAGACACCCAGACCAGCCAGAACTCCTGCAAAGGTTCAGAGCTCTTCGCAGGCAATGCAAACTCCTGACTAAGAAGAAACGGCCTACTTACTTCCAGCAATAACTAGTTCACCACAGAGGTCACCCAAGAGAGCAATGCTCGGAGTATCATGAACAGTCTACTCGACAGAGTTAAAATCCACCACGAACCTGCTGCCAAGTTTCTGCCATCACAGCGACATTTGCGAACATTGTTAACAATGCATCAATAACTGACAGTCAGCCACTCACGCCCTATGGTCCTCTACCAGAGTACTCCTTAGCACAGCTCACGCTAGTTACTGTACCACACGTGCAACTGTGCATCCGGAGAATGAAAAGCCGCAAAGCTACAGGACCAGACAACATCCCGGTTTCGGCATACAAGCTGATCAGTGATGAGATTGCTCCATCACTAGCCAAACTGTTCTCAATGTCTCTTACATCTGGAGAATTCCCAACACCAATAAACTCCCCAATGTTTGACCTATCCACAAACGTGGCGACACGTCGATCTCGTCTAACTACAGACCAGTGTCACTGCTAGTCTGTTACCTCTGCCTCACGAACAATTCGCCTGCCGTAGGGGCTACTCATATGAAGGCTTACAAGGGGCAGTATGTAGTAGCCGCCTTCCTTTCAGGCATTTGACACCGTCGATCACAGAATTCTACTCCAGTAGCTACTAGACTAGAGATCGGTGTCGGCGGTACAGCACTACAATGCTTCCACAGCTACCTCACTAACAGAAGCCAACGTGTTGTACCCAAGGAACAGCAAGGTGAAACGTACAGCAGCAACAGAGGTCCTTGGTCCATCCCTGTTCACCCTTTCCGTGCGTGAGGAAACTCCCTTCTGTGCTCGAACACTGTACGGCTCGGCTCTGACGATGTCTCCTTGTACAGAGCTGGAACAGCAAGTTATGCAAGGAGCTAGAGGAAGACATTGGAAAAATGCATCAATTCTTGGCGGAAAGAGGTCTTGTATTGAACCTGAACCCCTCCAAAACCCCGTTCGCGGTGTTCAGGTCAAACTCAAAGCTTCTGGACCCCGGTGTCCAACTCCACCTCTGTGCCCTCAACATCGCTCCCAGCGCACACGTTCGCTACCTGGGTGTAGTTCGGTTCTACCTAACCTTGAACCTTCCAAGTTGAAAGGCTGTGGGTTTGCACACTGGGGATGTGTTAGAGCAAGGTCTTAGGTCGTTGAATGTTTCAGTAGCCTGTCACAGTGTCAGTTTTGTGCCCTGTAACGGCACGTTCTGACTGCTTAATACAGTCGTTGATATTTGCTTCATATCTCGTTCTCATGTGTTTTCTTTTTTCTATTTTACATTAAATTTTAATATTGGCTCATTATCCGAGTTCAATTTTATTATCCAAAATCGACTTTTGTTGTCTGGCCATGTCTGCATCAATATAACTATATTCTTTATTGCACTTATTTGCTTTCACCTCTCACCACGCAGACTCTTCGAACACCTTGATACATTCGAAATACTGTATAATAGCATTTCCCCAGTTTGTCGTGTTTTACTTCACAAAGTAGGTAACCAACGCATATGGCCGATTGGTTTGCAGGCCTGCCTGCGAATCATGAGGTCCCGAGTTCAAGACCCGCGCTGGTAGCAGGGAGCGTGTAAAAAGACTTTTTACGCGTGTTGAACTGCGCCGACACCCACGGTCAACTGGGTACTCACAGCTCGGAGTGAGAATAACAAGGATGCAGTTTACAGGGTTATGGGCCGTTACACGCCCGATTGGTTGAGAGACTAACCTCCTCTCCCCCCCCCCCCCTGACTCACTTGTGAGGTCTGCATTCGCCACTAAGGTTAACAGGCATAGTGGTGGCCTGCGGATGCGAAGGCTAGTTTGTGTGTTTCTGGACATTCAAGCGATGCCGACGCGGATCCCGCGAATATTATTATATTATTAAGTAGGTAAAATCAAGTTCGGTGGACCGGCGGATTCTGCTCGAAAAGGTGGCAGATTATGCTCGAAAAGCAGTAAAATTGGCAGAACCATACAAACCTTATGACGGGCAATTCCTCGAATTCTGCTCCATTTCTTTATCCACATACCAAACATGCATGAAACGTACCAGAAAAAGTACCGAATTCTGCCAATTTTTCTGCCGGCAGAATCCGCTGGACCCTATCGCATTCCCTGTGCCTCTTGACACAAGCACTGAAAGATGGAGCTGATTGGCTTACAGCTTTGAAATTCAGTTTTCTTCACATGGGATGATAATAAATACATATGGAGAGTCGGGTTGCAATCTCCTACTGTGGGCGACTGAGGTCGGTAGCAACTCTGAACGCACATCAATGAGCATCCGAGTAGAGTATTCACTGCGGTTGGCGCCTCGTGTATCACAGATGCACAGCTTCGACTCGCCATAGGCATAGCCCTCCCAGCTACCGATGACAGCTTGAGGACAACAGCATTGATAACTTCAATTTATGGTCGGCAATAAGAGAGATTCAGAATGCTGAGGACGAAGTGGACTATAGTTTTCAACAGACAAGCAGTGAAAAATGCAGCAAACACCAAACAAGATCCAGGGTGGAAATGAACAAAAATATGTATAACTACTTGGTGTGATAAGATGAAACTACTACGTACTACATGATTGTCCTGCATGCACGATGACAATCAGAAACAAGAAATTTAACAATGTGCATATTGTGTGGTGTCGCAGATAACTAGCACTGCATGAAGTACAATGCCATGGATGTGAAAGCGAGCAGCAGCAACATGTGAATACATGGCGGCAGCAGTACAGCTCGAAAATTTAATGCGGCCGAAATGTGTTTCAGTCTTGGGAGGCCGAAATTTGAATGGGCCGAAAATCTGTAGACTTACAAACATGACGTAATTGCTGTCTTAGTCATTTTTGTTTTATTCCCTGTATTTTAAAGAGCCCATGAAGGGGAGGGAACGAAAACGCTCGGTTCTAATATTTCCTAGTGTTCATTTTCACTGGTGTGGATTGCGCAGATGCATGCACTACATCTCTAGTTGTTTTTCGTTGCGCAGTGCATCGTCACACACAAACTCCCGCACACGCTCTCAAGTTTCTAAAGCCCTTACTATTCCCCCTGCTTCAAATCGGTATGGTCTTTTTTCTCTTAGTTTTCTAGGCTCAGATCGTTGGAACTCTCTACCTGCTGACATTCGCCTTTGCACATCTGTTTCTCGCTTCCGTTACCTTGTATTGGCACATTTAGGGTACCCTGTAAGAAGGCCTTAGGCCTGTGGGGATTGCCCTATCAAAAATTTAATAATAATAATACATTGAAGAATGGAACAAACAAGCAAACAAATACTGGATGACAACATAATTATTGTAACTACACAGCTCTATTCACGCGACTTTGCAGACAAAGTTGCTAAAGTAGCTTTTGTGTTCGTACGAGCTCGTACAATACGTGTGAACTCCGCACTACTGTGCACCATGCCAATCAATAGCCATGGTTAGCATTTTACCGTTCACGCTAACTTCGACCGTACGTCGGCCTGTACAGATTTGTGTGTGTTTTCAAGTCACTGTTTGGCATTAATAATTTTCCGTTTCTGACACAAAGATCGACTTATATAACCTAACACGGGTTCAAAACCAGTATTAGATAAACCTTGTATATGATTCAAATGGTCCGCAGGGACCGGGGCTCTACCAACCGCGGAAGGTTGTAGTAAGGTCACTGTTTGAATATTTCCACCTTGTTTCATGCTGTCAATCTAACACTATGAAAGGTCAACTTGTGACGTAACCCTAGTTGGAATCTTACAGTTTCGTTCTCCCGCTAAACAGAGCTTTCTATCGTCGAAAGGTACCAAACCGACGGTATTTTGGGTGTTGGGTACGAGGACCGTTGGATTTAGCGCAAACGGTGAAATGCTAACCATGTCTACACACACAAAAAACGGTACTGGCCGACCGTCGAAAATAGCGTGAACGGAAAAATGCTAACCATGTCTAATTGTGTCATGCACGCACGGACACACGTCGCCTTTCTCTCCTCCTAGAATACACCAGTTTGTCACATTCCAGTTCGTCTACTGGTGTCAGTGCAGCAAGTGGTTATTAGTTACCGCAATGGAACCGGCCAATATCAGTACTTCTCTTCCTATTCCTAGTATTATACGTGCTCGTGTGCGTGTGCGTGTTCACCTGTCTGGTTGTAGTTGTACAACTTGTAGTTAACATGGAGCCGAAGGAGACTGGCTCCGACTCTAGTGCAGCCGTTCAGACATCAGCTGCTAGTACCTCCAGTACCAGCAGCAACACTGGCACTGACGGCAGCGACAGCGGCCACACACCGCCACCTGCGAAGCCGCATTTTCACCACAAGCAGGCCAGGCCCAAGACCAGCAGCTGGACCACCCTCAGCGCCATTAGCTCTTCATCGTTAAGCAGTGGCAGTAGCAGCAGCGGCAGCGCTAGTGATGCCAGTGGCAGCAGCAGCGCTAGTGATGCCAGTGGCAGCAGCAGCAGCGGCAGCGCTAGTGATGCCAGTGGCAGCAGCAGCAGCGCTAGTGATGCCAGCGGCAGCAGCAGCAGCAGCGCTAGTGATGCCAGTGGCAGCAGCAGCAGCGGCAGCGCTAGTGATGCCAGTGGCAGCAGCAGCAGCGCTAGTGATGTCAGCGGCAGCAGCAGCAGCGCTAGTGATGTCAGCGGCAGCAGCAGCAGCAGCAGCGCTAGTGATGCCAGTGGCAGCAGCAGCAGCGGCAGCGCTAGTGATGCCAGTGGCAGCAGCAGCAGCGCTAGTGATGTCAGCGGCAGCAGCAGCAGCAGCAGCGCTAGTGATGCCAGTGGCAGCAGCAGCAGCAGCAGCGCTAGTGATGCCAGTGGCAGCAGTAGTGGTAGCAGCGGTAGCAGCAGTAGTAGTGGCAGCAGCGACACCAGCAGCAGTGCCAGTAGTAGCTCGCCAGCCAGCTCCTCTGAGGATGAGGCCGGAAAGGCGGCAGCATCCCTGAGTTCGGCTACTGCCAGCACAAGCACATTTGGTAGCAGTAGCACCAGCGCCAGCATGTCTACATCCGACACACTTCAGTCCAGAAGTGTATCATCCAGCTCCAATACCGGCAATACCGGCAATACCGGCATGTCACACACTTCAAAAAAACGTCGCAGGACTGAGACGTCGTCCATTCGAAGCACCTTTGAGTTATCTGCTACCGACGATGCTCCGGCGCCAGCGGCAAAGCGTGTCCGCATGGCACCCACCGTATCACCAGCAACAGCAGCGGCGGCAGCATTGGCGGCGGTGGAAGCTTTGTTGGTGGCGGAAGAATTGGTGGCGGCGGAAGCATTGGTGCCGGCGGAAGCATTGGCGGCGGAAGCATCGGCGGCGGAAGCATCGGCGGCGGCCTGGGGTGACCAGGCCATGGATTGCACGCCAGTACGGTGCCAGACCGGGCGCAAACGCCGCAGTCGGTTGGGCGGCACGGTGCTGGAGAAGTTGCTGAATTCTGATAGCAATGGCAATGATGGGGATGATGAAAATGAAGATGAGGATGATGAAAATGACGATGAGGAGGAGGAAGAGGAGCAGAATGGGGAGGGTAGTGATTCAACATCTGCTTCACCATGCGATGCCGACTCTGAGATGTAGCTACTCGACAGTCTATAGACACTGCTCCAGTGGACAGTAATGATCTGCCACTGGTGTGTGTGTGTGTGTGTGTGTGTGTGTGTGTGTGTGTGCGTGCGTGTGCGTGCGTGTGTGTAAATGTGTGTGTGTGTGCATGTGTGTTGCAGGCATGTTAGTGTTGAGAACTGCACAAACGCCTGCCATGCACCCTGGTCGTCTTGTCACCGGTCACACAATGTAAATCTAGAAACCAAATCTTGCTGCAACTGGCACCTGTGGGTGCGCTCTGTAAATTCAAGGCTATCAATTTACCCACCAGTGAGCCATTTTGGTGCAGTGCTGGACCGCATGCAGTCACATGCTATGGCCGAGAGTTCAGGGAAGGACGTGCCCGAGGAAATACAGGACAGCGATGCATTGCTACGTTTCTTGGCTAGGCGGCGGGCGATTCGGAAGGAGTTGGAATGCCAGCAGTGTGAATGCTCTGCAAACCTGCAGCAAAATTAATCCAGCTGCGTCGGCAGCTATCGCTGGGAGTCGCCTGAGTACAGGTGTTGGTGGTCCGTGTGAACTGGATCAAGCCTTTTGAAGAATTCAAGAAGTGCCATGGAGATTGTGTCCAGTTTCTACTCCCTCCTTGGCTTGCGAACGCCGCTAAAAAACTAGTTCGTCTCGACACTAGAGGTCATCCGATATACGAGACTTTCTAAAGTGGGTGCTGGCAACGAGCTGTAACTGGCTAGAAAGTGGTTTACGACTTGGTGATGCTTATCCAATGTTTGTGGATATTTGCGTGCCGGATGAGCCCGGATCTGCGATCTGTATAGCCGTCGAGGGAACTACTCGATTGGCAGTGGCACAGGCAGCACATTCAGTGGCCTCTTTGCATAAGTTTTTGGGGAAAATGGTCTGCCCCAGGAGCCGAGATATTTTCAAACATTCCTCCATCGCCAGTTCTCTCATCAGAAGCCCTACACGTGCCTATGTACGTGTGAATGTGGGGAACCAACCTTCAGTATCAGCAAAGTTCAAAGAACACTTTGATGCCATTGCCAGTTTTGTCGACGACCTTTACGAAACCCACACACAAGACTTCTAGAATTGAAAACAAAAGGACTGGACTTTGGTGATTCCGCTAAAGTTCAGTCGTTGGAACAGTGCTTCACAAAATTTGCAAACAAGAGCCCTATCAGCTATAGCCTAGGCCTACTGAATGCTTCCTCAGCTGTGTGCGTGACAAAGCCCCATACCCAACCTAACCGGTAACTGGTGAATTGGTTTAGTTGAAAATGTCAGATGTTTTTTTATCGTGTATCCATGCACCTAGTTACCCATATTGTACACAAAAAAACGCTGGCAATCGTTTCGATCACTTGTCTTTCTTTGTGTGGGATTAGCATCATTCCCTCATTGTTGATGACCTGAGGTGTAACATGGTCATAAACGTTTAGCTCGCACTAACAGCTACATGTACATAATATACACACGACATAAAGTGCTGTACTTTCGTTTCACTACAGTTTTGTTTTGTTGAGTTTTGTTTGTGATTGACCCGTGTATTGTTAACCGGCTTTGTCTCCATGGATGCTGTAATATTGGCTCGTCTTCAGCTTGAAACACACACTCCTCTCCTTCTCCTTTCTTCGTTTTGCGAATGATTTCATCGAAATAATGGGGACAAGTCTGAGGGCCGCAGATGCTAAGCGAAGTCCTGTCCGCTGAGCAGCCAATCAGCTGGCTCCATTCCATGGCAACGGGTCATGTGACGTGGGAGATTCTTCTTCCAGAGATCTCTTAGTCTTACTCTTCCGATGATGGTCTCGCCAGTCAGCGTGGTCAGTGTAGTGGTTCAACAAGCACGCCAGCAGGCGTGAGGCCAAAAACATACTCGAACTTGGGACTTCCGTGTGGCGCGCTGCTTGCTCTTGGATTAAGATCCAGCCACACCAGGATACGATCCTCGCCATGAATTCTGACATGTTCTCGGCTGAACACATTTACTTCACACGAGGGAAACTTGAAATTCCAGGCTTTCACGGCACCCTGCTTCACCCATCCCTGCGTGCAGACTACTTCATGTAGAGACTGCCAGCTAGCTCGCCTCTTGTACGGGGGAAAGCAACACAATGAATGCAATGCTCGAAAATGTAATGAAAGCAAAATACACAATGCAACCTGAATGAGGAACTTCCGCGCAGCAACGGTCAAACGGCACTTGGCGAACTTGGCTGTATCAAAAGCAACTGGACCGGATGGCATCTCTGCTCGTGTGCTCAAGATGTGCTCATCTGAACTTGCAGACCCACTGGCAAAGCTCTTCGCCCTCTGCTTCTTAGCCGGTGTGCAACCTGGGGCATGGAAACTTGCCCATGTAGTCCCAGTTCACAAACGGTCCTCCAGATCTTTGGCATCTAACTACCGACCAATATCACTGCTAACGATCATGTCGAAAGTCATGGAGGGCATTGTAAACACGCAACTGGTTAACTACCTAGAGAAGCATGAGGTGTTGCCAAACAGCCAGTTTGGATTCCGACGTGGTAGAGGAACCGCAGATATCTTAACGGCTCTCCAACATGAATGGGTCCACACCATAAGTACTGGCGGTTGTGTCCAGGTCCTCGCCGTGGATATTGCCGGTGCGTTTGACCGGGTATCGCACACAGGAGTGCTGTACAAAGCAAAGCAGGCCGGCGTCGACGGACGCCTGCTTGTATGGCTACAGGACTACCTCACCAACCGAAACACCCGCGTTGTGGTTGGAGGCCAGACGTCAGATGCTCAACCCATCCAGGCTGGTGTCCCCCAAGGCAGCATCCTAGGACCCAGCCTCTTCCTTCTATACACCTGTGACATTGAACAATGTTTAACTCCAGGAACGCAGCTGAGCAGCTTTGCAGACGACACCACACTCTACAGCTTAGTACAGCCAACTGACGATCTCCAACAGTCCACCGCCTCCCTCCAAGGGTCCCTCAACAGTCTTGAGGAGTGGGGCCGCAAGTGGCGTATCTGTTTTGAGCCAGCCAAGACACAGCGCATGACTCTACATCGCAAGCACGTTCCCCCCCTGCACTCCACCAGTCACCTTTGGAGGTGAAGCACTCCAGGAGACAGATACCCTGAAGCTGCTGGGAGTCATGCTCGACCCTACTCTCTCCTACAGAGCGCACACTCGCAGTGTTGCACTGCGCGCCTCCCAAAGGCTGGGTTTCCTACGAAAGGCAGCACCCATCCTGGACGACCATGGTCGAGTGACGGTCTACAAGGGATTCGTGCGACCCCTACTTGAATATGCCCCACTGGCCTGGTCGAGCGCAGCCGCAACTAACATGGCCCAGCTGGACAAGGTTCAGCAACGTGCCCTGCATTTCCTGGGACCTGGAACCATCCTCCAAAGTCTTCAGCTTCGTCGGATGGTGGCAGCCCTGTCATACTTGTTCAAGCTGCACTACATTCCAGGGCCTCCCCAGGTAAAGGCCATGCTGCCACCAACCAAGCCCCCTGCCGTAGCTAGCATGTGCACACGGCAAAAACGTCAGACGCACCATGCCTTTCAGCTGAAGTGGACACCCCCTCGCACAGCCCCTGACTACCTCCTGCGATCCTTCCCCTTCTTCGCCATCACACCCTGGAACAACCTGCCTGCGGACCTCCTGCTTCACGAGCCTCATTCAAGACGCCTCCAAACCTTCAAGGTCAACGTATGTAAGGATCTAATCCGAAAGAGATGGCTGTGGTCCACACAGTATCTGTGACGATGATATTGAGATTTGAGACCCATTTAGTATTTACCTCTCTACTACTACTTGCTTGTTATGATTATTGTTCTCTTTCTTCATTTTCCCTCCTGGTTTAGTCATTACACGTATTTATAATTATTATTTGGTGCAATACTAGCGCCCCTTTCTCGCACCAAATTATTATTTTTGCTACCTGACCATGCACCCCCCCCCCCCCTCTTTTTTTCGATGCCAGGTTGCAACGCTAACGCCGAGACCCCTGGTCGGTCGAGTTGCTCCCTGTACATCGGCACGTCGTCCCTACATCCCCTGTGTCTTGTCTTGTGTTTGTCTCCACATGTCTCTTTGTAGGGCTGTGTTCCCAATAAAAATAAAAAATAAAAAAATAAAAACCTGAATTGGTCACGGTGAAACTCGATATAATACAATGTAGACCACAAGAAAAATGTGGGCACAAGTTTTGCGATCGAGTCCACCAACTAAACCAGATTTTGAACGGTCAGACGTGCACAATCTAGCACAAAACTGACAAGGAGTACTGAGACATTCCACGGCATGAAAAAGTCATATAATTATATATATTTTCACCTCTGATAATATTGAGCCTCCCAAATTAGTTGGGTGGTTGTTGCTTTGCGTTTTCGAATTGTGGTTTGACCGTTCTGTCTGGTCTTGCCGTCCCGTTATTGTCGCAAGCAAGCCTACCATGACGCCTTGGAATCATGTGTAGCTTGTGCTCGGCTCGGTGGCGCTTACCTTCCCCCCTTTTGGAATTATCACTAATATCCATGAACCTTCCAAGTTGGAAGGCCGTTGGTTAGGGCTGTCGAGCAGTGCTCTAGCTGACTTTCATGCCGTGGTATGTCACTGTACTCCTTGTCAGTTTTGTGCTAGATTGTGCACGTCTGACTGTTCAAAATTCTGGTTTAGTTGGTGGACTCGATCGCATATTATTATTATTATTATTAGACACAATCTCATAGCACGTGACAAGCATAGCTAATGCAGGGACAGAATCCCCTGAGACAAGGGCGTTGAGCCAGCCACGGCAATAGTAAGCTAGGAAAACAAAGCAAATATGAATTTAAAAAGCAGAAAATGAATGGAAAATTGCAAAGAAAAACGATTAACGGAAGTGAGCACTATCAAAATTCGTGCATCATCCAGATATTCGAGAATGTTCTTCGATGATAATTATTGCGTCTAGTTCAGTTGTGATAGTAGATCTTTAAACTGACCAATAGAAGAACAAGTTTTCAGACCGTATGGTAATGATAACCAATGAGAGTAGCCGGAAAACAAAGGGGACTTTAGATACTGATCATACTGGGCTGACTTAACAAGAGGCAGGATGAGCGCGTTACGGGTTGAGCTTGTCGAAAACCAATTGTACTTCATCATGTGTGAAGGGGTTTTATGAAGAAATATTTTATGAACCAGTGTACAGAGATGGTGCTTATGACGAACGGAGAGAGGAGAAGTGTGTGCAAGTCGATAAAGGGCATCCGAAGGAAAACATCGATCCTTGTTGTAAAGAATTTTAAGTATAAATCTATGGTGGACTTCTAATTGGCTCAGAGTTGTGTCAGAAAGGCCACACCAAGCGGTATCGCAATAGTCGAATATAGGGAGAATATAGCACTGATAAAATAATAGTTTACACTGGATGGGCAAATGAGTGCAATGTGGTTGTAGTACCCCTAATGCTGAACTGGTTCGCTTGCATACACAGTTGACATGTGCAGCCCAAGAGAGTTTGCAGTCAAACATCACACCTAGATGTTTGTGCTGAGTAACAACACGGACACGGATAGGCATAGTCGAGTCAGGGAAGTATAATGGTTGATCAGGAGGGGATGAATAAATATACATGGCTTCTGTCTTGTCTAAATTGGGCTGGAGTTTCCACGTTTGCATCCACATGACAGTGCTGTTGATGCGATGCTGCATGGTAAGGAGTAATTGTGCAGGGGAGGAATCAGAACAGATAAGGCCAGTGTCATCCGCATACAAACTAACATCGGGGACAACTGAAGGTAGGTCATTAACGTAAAGCAAGAATAACAAAGGACCCAGAATGGAACCTTGGGGCATAACTTGTGCCCACATTTTTTCATGTAACAATATTTTCCTTAGCTCACCATCTGAGTTTGTAGAACACAAGAACTGAGCAACGAACGCAAGTGGGCAATTTGGATGATGAGAACTAACAATTCCGGAGTCACACAGTAGAATACCTCTGCAACAAAACAAACAAAGGACGCAAAAAATGATAGCCCAACATCATCATAAAGATTGTCAGAACCTTCCTTCTATCATTGCCAGCAGATGCAAAGCGTTTATGGGCTTTTAATATTATGCCGATCTCTTGCTCCTCTGATGCACATAACTGCCACTTAAAGCAGGGCAAAGGACAGGCGACACCTAACATATGCCATCACTTGACTATACGGCTTACCATCACGCTGCGCCAACATTCCACATAGCCGCTTAAGGAACCGCACACACTCTGGGGACGCACAGCCGGCCGAGGTGGAAACAAGTGGAGTGAAGTGTCCACGGTCGACATGTACAATCCGCTCGTTGTACTGCAGTTTCTTCTGCCTCTCATGCTGGAGTAACAAGTCAGTGATGGGCTTCTTGGCATAAGAAGCCGCATCCGAGTGAAATAGTCGAACATCTAGGAAGGTGTTCTGTGCCTGAGTCTAGAACCCACGTCCGATCGGGCATCACTGGCAGTGTTGGTGCTGGCTGCTGTGAATATCTCCCCTTCTATCGGAGCCAGGAAAGGCTCAACTCCAACATCAGGGCACAGCTCCGTTATCAGGTCGGCAATCCAGTCCCGCACTTCATTGTCCGGCATTGTCGGAAAGCCTCCGGTTGGACAGCACATC